AGACAGGGGGAGGCAGCAGGAGGGGAGAGAGAGAGAGAAAAAGACGGAGCGAGAGACCGGAGGCTCAGGAAAGAAGACCAGCATGGAGGAGAGACCTGAAAATCCCGTCTTATGGTGGGCTAATTGTCTAGTTACATATAAAATGATAAGATTTTGCTACATGAGTGCTCTGAAATATGTTGTAATTTTGGGTAATACCCAAAGACATACTTGCACATCAGGCAGGTGCTAAAGCTCTATTACCTTCTTAACTGGACAATCCCCGGCAAGGGAAGGACAAAGCTATAAACTTACTCAGATGTCATTAAGGTCAAGCTTGACAAAGTTGGGGTTGGTCCTCCTTGGAGCAGGGGGTTGGATTAGATATCCTGAAGTTACTTCCAACCCTGAACTTCTATTTATAATTCAACTGATGGACAGTTGGCAGCTCAAATACAATGGAACTACCTGAGTTCATGACCCAAAAGAGACTTTTCTAGTATAAAGGGTCAGAGATAGGAGGAGGGAAAAGGCCTCTGGTCACCTCTCCACTCGGTCTCCATGACCTCAATAAAATATCTGAAGTAAATAGAAGTAGATGCAGCCTGTGAAATGTATTGCAGCTCATGGCAAGACACATTTTTAAACTGTTAACTTTGGTAAAGTTTAGGAATTATATTGAAGTTTCTCTCTTTTGTTAGTCACCAATTATAGTTTTTATGCTGTACCACTTAAAATGTATCTTTCTCTAATTAATAAACTTGACCTATTATTTTATCTAAACTGGTATGTTTGAAGTATTAAGGAAAATGCTACATAAGATAAGAAAAGTTGGCACATAAATATTACCCATTGGAATGTCTATTGAGCAGTTTGAGAGACATTTCTGGGATGCAAGGCTGGGACTAAGAATACACAGATGTTGTCCTGTATATAATTCATGGCTAGGAGAGCATTCATATGTTCAGCTGGGAGTGATTTTACATGCTAGTGGCAGTGTGTGCCTGGAGGAGATTGCTGTTCACCAGCAAAGTAATGTGAAAGGAATCCCCGGCTGGTGAGTAAAAGGGGACACAGCAATTCAACAGCCCACATTGCATGTTGGGCAATGTCACAGCTGACAAGTTCCAACAGGTTTCATTCTGGGTCAAAGTGAAAACAAAACCTTTCAAGACATTCGGCAAATTGAAGAGTCAAAACATTTGTTTGAAAAAAAAAATCAAAATGAAAAATGTTGAGTGACTCTAAGCCAAAAAATCCAAAGGCTTTAGTAATGTCAAAACAAACAGGATTCATTTTGCTATTACTGAAACATTTACATTTTTGGTTCACATGAAACTATATGGGGAACTAGACATAAATTCACAAATAGTTTTCTATCAAACAAAACTGCATATTTCAGCAAATAAACTACTCACTAAATTTTGTTGACCCAGCTGAATTAGAAACTTTCTTTTAATTTTCAACCTAAATATATTCACAAACAGATTATTCCCATTTGTTCTTGTGCCAATCCTATCCTTGAACTTAAATAACTCTACACCCTCCCTGGAATTTACCCCCTCTTCCAATGTATTTATAAATAGCAATCAGATCCCACTTCTCAATCTTCATTTTGCTAGGCTGAACAACTTATGTCGCCTAGCCTTTTCTCATGGGATAGTCTCGCCATTCTCAATTGCCCTGGTAGTTTTTCTCTGCACCTGTTCCAGTTTGAATTAACCTTTCTTAAACCTAGTGACCCAAACTGTACACAGTATTCCAGAAGAGGTCTTACCAACGCAAGTCTATTTTTACTGGATATACTTTGCTGGATACATCTTAGAATTGCATTTGCCTTTTTCACAGCTGTATCATGTTCATGGTTCATACACCCAGATCTCTCTCCTCCTCCATCTCTTTCCACAGATGAATCCCATCTTAGAGCAGAAATTCATTGGAGCAGCAGGTTGGAGAGATACAGCTATGTGTATAATTATTATGACAGTGTGATGAAAATCATTGCTACTTTTGATTTGAAATAACAATTTGATAAATATAACACCATAGTTGCCAATATATCGCTATACAATTTATTTGACAAAGGATGAGATGAAGCACCAACGTGTATATACACTTGCAGAATAATGCAGGAAAATACAGTTTAACTTTTTGCAATAAGACAGAAAAATGATGTATAGAAAATGCTTTCAACATTTAAGGGCCAGATCTACAGGTGGTGTAAGTCAGCACCATGCTACTAACTTCAGTGGAGCTATGCCAGTGAATTCACCTGAGGAGCTGGCATTTAAACCTTTTGAGCATTCATTTCTTCAGCCATAATGACTCTATTATAGGGTTTTATGGGACAATTTATTACAATTTTCACACTGATTAAAGATTTACTGTTGTTATTCAGAAAGATCTTATGTTATATCATCTATTTAAGGATCTATTCAGACAATATCTGTGGAAAGATATAAAATTTTGGTTAAACATTTAAAAAAGAGGTCATTAATACTGACAAAAGACAACTGTTACTTTAAAAATTTAGAAAGTATTTAGTAAAAGGACTGTATAGATAAATTCATTTTATTAGAAAATAGCTTTAGAACATGGCTCACCACTGATCTGCTCTACTTTTGAACAGCTGCTGTTAGACTGTCTGCCAAACTACCCACTGGGTTTCCTACCTCCCTTTGGACTGTTAAAACAAATCAAGCAATTTAAAACAGATTAGATTCCAATTGTCTGATAAAGCCACCTGCTCCACGCAGAACAGATTGACACTGTTGCTCTAAGATGTTGTTCTCTCTGTGTAAAACTAAGGCAACCACCCTAGGCAGCTTTAAAAATCACAGCCTTGGTACCACCCATGACTCTGAAGGAGCTACTAGCTCAGGACAACAGTCCCTAAATCCAAATGTCTAGATGGTGACGCCAACCTGAGCACACCAAGAAATACTCATCCAATGCCTGTCCCAACCCTCAGCCGATACACATGCTGAGTCACTGGGCCACAAGGAGAGCCCCAGAGGAAAGGCTCCTCACTCACAGGAACCTCATCAGAGAACAGTGTATGCTTGGATCCACAGTAGTCTTTATTCAGGGCCATAAAGTGACATTATCTGCTTGTTTTAATGCCATCCCTGAAACTTTTGTTGGGGAAAGTATGACAAAGCCCCTGAATGACCTCAGCTTCCACTGTATTGACTGTGCACTTGCAGGTTCACAGGATGTCCCAAAACAAAGAGACCCAACAAAGAGAGTAGGAGAAGGAAGCAGTGGCTAATGCAAGAGGAAGGGGCAGTGAGTGGACCTTCTCTTTAACATGGCTAAAAAGTTTGCTATCCCCTCATTTTCAGTGGTTAGCATTTCTGATGTCCATACTTGACATTAATCATCAGTGCAGTAACATCAGGTAGTTTGGATCTACAGCAAGTGACAGTATCAGTGCAGGAAAGGGGACCTGAGAACACTGCTGAGCACTGTTGCTCCTCATCTGTGGAAGTTCATGAGATGTGTCTATGCATTTTTATACTGTGTAGCTGTAGCAGGTTTAATTTAAAGTGGTGCTTAGAATTTGGGGGACTTACTATTGTATTTTTCTGGAATTGCAGTTGAGATTCAAACAAACAATATTCAGTGACCTAAAAAAAATCTGTAGCAATGAAGCCAATTTATTCAAATTATATTCCTGGAAGCTCAGGGAATCTGAATTCAACAACGGGTAAGCTTTTTCTACATTCCTACTGAGCTTCTTTCAGACTGCATCTGAAAAATAGTGCATCTTAAGTTAAGAGAATTTAAATTTGCTTCAAATCTGTTTCAAATGTGATTAAATATATTTCTTATGCTATTGACCTGAACAGTTATTTACAAAGTCTTTAATAAGGTACATATGTTAGTATGGATTAATGCAGACTATGGTGTGTAGGACAAAAAGGAGTAATTGGTATTCCAACTACAGCAGCTTAAAGCAGTTTGAGAACCAGTGACTTTCAGAAATGCATCCAAGAAGCAAGAAATCTTGTTTTGAACATCAGTACAACAAATATGCCAGAGACACCTGAAAAGCTACACTGAAAAACAAAATGCTTAGAAATGGATACAACTCTGGTGGAACAACAGGGAGGAGCTGAGCATTCAGAAACAGAAATCATGTATCTTTAAGTAAGATCTACTTTAAACCACTGTACAGTTAAGCAGTTGAGAAGAAGTCCCCCAAAGACAGGACATGTTAATGAAAAAGAACATGTTCTCATTATGTCACCAGTAGAATGCAAGTGCTCCCAAGTTGTGAAGTGTGTTGAACAGGATTTGTGTGTGTGGAACTCTGAGTAATAGAGCAGCCTGAACATCCCTATTCCCTCAGAAACACAGGGCAAACTTTGGGCATGAGCTGGATATTACCATACATCAGTATGCCAGCGAACTCTGGAGAAGTGACCAGGGAGTCACTGTACTCCTGAATCCTGTCTTACTGAGTATCAAGGGACTTCTTTTTCACAGCACTTCTAAATCCCCAGGAAAACTGGGCTGAAGGGAAGAGTACCCTTAATATCACTATTTCCAGTCTTGGAGAAAGTTTATGACTTGAGTTTGACTTGTCTACAGCTAAAGTTGCATGCAGAGAGTTACACATCTTTACTGCCAGATGCACTCATTTTCAGTATGAATATCTAAGTGAAGCCTCTGTCAAATGCAGCCACTTGGCTTTAGCAAGGCAGCTCACATGCCACGGTGGAAAGGAGCTGAAATAACAGCAGGACACTCCTCTCTATGGGTGCATAAGATTTCTTGTAGTTTGAATTCTTCCCAGCATGGTCTTGGTCATAGTTCATAGCAGAGCTGTTGCACTGAATCAGTTTGGGAAGAAACCTGCTGGTACTCTCCCCGGCTCCAGTAGCTACTGCTCTTTACAATGTCCAATGCTGGTCAGATGCTGAATTGGCCCAATCTCTTGAATTTTTGTCCCATGGCTGGATCCCCTGAACAGAGAATTGTATTTTCTTAAATAGAACTTTTAGTAGATGTTGCTCTTGTAGCGCATGAGGCTAGCAGCTTTACAAGGCTGATGGACCCACTGGGCTCCTGGAAAAGGACTGAGTAAATTCAGCTAGTAAAGAATGCAGGAGCTGGTGTCTTAAATGAGCAACCCACTCTGATCACATTACTCCACTTGCCAGTTACCCACATGGACTGCCGTCTTCAAGGGGTGTTTGTGATCTGTGAGGTTCTCGATAGGGAGCCAGCTGTGTGAGCAAAGCAGTGTGTCTCCCTATGTCTGAGATCTAAAAGTTCACTCTTGCTGTTGGCTTGGGGGGGGGGGGGTGCTTTCTTTCACCTGGTGGCAGTGGGGGCATGGTGAGTTCTATGCTCCTCCCTCTGTGCTAGCTCCCCACTGAACTCTGACAGAGCCTGAATTCAGAGCACTGCAGAGCACTCTGGGTATGGAAGCTGAGCTCTGTGTCTATGGTACAGAGTAGAAGGTAGCAGGTATATCAAGGGCTGATTGGGTTTCAAGAGCTATTCTTATTGATGGAAAGGTTCAGGTGCCATGTTACAGGGAGCCCACAGCCTTTTCTAAACACAATATGTAACTGGGTCCCCTCAAACCCAGCGCGATAGAGTGGCTGTCTTTCAGCAGATGGTGAAGCTAATTCCTTCTGAATACACTGCAGCCTTTCACACGTAGATATCTAAGATTCTTACCTTTGAGTGTGACATGAAAGTTCAAGATTTTTTATTTATAGGGAAGCCTTATAATTAGGTCATTATTTGGCACCTAGATCAGTAGTATGATTTCCAAAGATCATCATCACCTATTAACTGCCATTTTCTTCCAAGAGACTTGTGAATTCTTAGCACTTCTGAGAGCAGCTCATATCTATCTTTATATGTGGAAGGAGGATTCCATCTTACCCATTTTTTAAAAACTTGCTGAAATGCAGAGTTTGGGTAGTACATCTCTCAGCCAGTCCAAGCAGTTATTACTAAGTCTGGTTTGAATCCACAGACCCAACCTCCTCCAAAAGTCTTAGTCAGAATTCCCATTGAAAATATCTGATATGCTATTAAATTAGCAAGTTAGAAATGTAACCTTCTACCAGAGAACAGCTATGCACAGGATGGTGTGGGGAACATGCAATGAGAAGTTGCACAGTAAAGTGAAACAAAGTGGCAATAACCCTGGGAGCAAGCATATGTTTACCTCTTTTATACACAGCAACAGAGAAGATTGTGGGAGTGCTCATTGCAAACAGTCACAGCTGTTCCAGGGAAGCTGCTCTAGATGTGCACTCAGGCAGAACTATATATGAGCAAATGACTCTGGGAGAACAGTTATTTTTACAGGATTTTGGGCCATGATTTCATGACCTTTTTGGAGTCCTTCACTTGTCTTGTAAAATGCAGCTCCAGAGCTTTCAAGCTGCCACAGTCCTAAGAGAGAAGTTTTTTGCAGGCTCACAGAACCTGAGTGCTGAGTAGCTACACACAAATGTGGGTTGTGGATCTCAGAGCTTTCAGAGTGGTCGGGAAATTTCCAGCAGCCTTGGTGGGAGTTCTTCCTCCGAGAAAGCAGCTGGGGGCCTTAGATCACTGGAGAGGTAGATCTGACTTCTGTTAAAACCAGGCACATCCAGCTAGCAATGAAGCAGAAGCAGCAAATGGGTTGGTTCCAGAAGTAATTCAAAGAGCAAGATAGGTCTTAAAAAGATGGTTTCCTTTAAGTAAGATGCATCAGTAAATGGCTGACCAAAAACGCTTGACAGGCTGGAGTGGCAGGCAAATTTTGTTCTGTTTCTGTGTGAAGACGGAAAAGGCTATATGTGTGCAACATGGAAACTGTTAAACATCCTATTGTAGAATGAAAATGATTCAGACCAGCACAGGCTGCTGACAATATAAAGAAGTTAAAATGGACAGATTATATTGCAATTACGAGGAGAAAGGAAGTGTCTGTGGCCATGGATGCAGCAGATGTAAATGAAATTGGACAGTGAGGCAGAAATGAAGGGGGAAAATATAAAGCTATTCAACCTAGACCGTGGTATTAAATACTCTGCCCTTAGTGAACTAGATGACAATAAAGCTGAGAAAAATAGCTATTGAAAACCCAAGACTGTCAGCTGGACACAAAGCGCCTAGGCAAGCAGTAGCTAGGGTAAGTTAATGCTACCAGAAAGAAATAAGACGCAAGTGATCTTGACTGGGAACCCATTGCTGAGGGGCATGGCTCAAAATACCTGCATTGGTTTCCAATTTAGAAAAAAAACAGTATCTCACCTCTGGGATGAAAAAAAAGCATGTGACAAAGAGCATCCTGAGACATTCTCACTAATTGTCCTTTATGTGGAAACAAATACACTAATCATAAACTGGAGATCTTCTACTGCCCAGAGTCAAACTTCTTTGGAGTTTCTTTAAATTACAGGTGACAATTCTCTTAAAAAAAAAAAGTATTACAGCCCTCATAGTAAATTCATATCTGAGTCCCTAACACATTTACCCAGCCTTGCTCGGGTCCTTAACTTTAGTTAAGGTTGCTGGGTTTTTTTAAATAAAGGAAAATGTATAGGCTTTATTTTAAATGATTGTCTTTTTCAAAAATGGGTAGCAAGAGCAAAGTGCACAGCTTGACTGCTTCCTGCGCTCCCCAGCCAGAGTTGAGGAATGCAGAAAATTGTGCACTTTCCCCATGCTCCTTGGCGAAAGGGAACAGCCAGCAATGTTCCCATACGAATCTGGATGGGGGGGCGCTTCAGCCCCTGCTGCCCTCCCTAAAGGGTATCTTCAGGGTAGGAAGCCTCATCAGCAATCCAGGAAAGGGGGGACATGTCTTCAGCCAGCATGTTTCACCTGCCTGGTGATTGTCTCTCTTTTCTGTACGGCTTTCTGAGAAGCAATCCCATTCCAGGCACATCCAAACCCTTACTAGTTATTTATTTATATATATTTAGTGTGTGTGTGTACACACACACACACACACACACTTAGTATTTTAAACAGGCCAATTTACAAAAGGTAAAATTAATTACGAACAAAATTGATTGCGGACAAAAACCTTAAACAGAAAAATCTGCATCAAAATAGTTAATCTTTTAAGAATGCCATGCTACATGTCCCAAAATCCACAATTCTTCAGTCATGAGAAAAGACTGTTTAGTTAAAAAGCAAACAAAAACACCCATAAAACCCTCTATTACCTTAAAATGGGATGTGAAAGGCAAAAAAGGTTGACGAATAAAAAGGGATATATTCATAATAATAAATATAAATTAAAGTTAAGAAATGCAGGTAATTAAGACAAGCTAGATGCATTACTAATCTATAGTTGATATGGTTAAAATAATTATTTCAATTGATTTCCAGTTACAAGATAGTAAAACAGTACTGATGCAGAAAAGGCAGACGTGTTCAATAAATATTTATGTCCTGCATTTGGTATTAAGTTGGGATAATGCATTATTTTATTTATATAATTATTCTGATCATAAACTTTCTATTTCAACAGTAACTATGGAAGATGTTACACAAAATCTGCCAAACTGGTTATCTGCATGCAAAAGTTTTAGAGAGCTTTCCAAATTATTGGTTTTAATTTGTACTTTACCTTGGAAATTGATATAGTACAAGAAGACTCGAAGAAAGTCACTGTTGTACTAATAGACGACATTTTTCAAATTGACCTGCAGTAAGACTTAGGCACCAAAATGCCAGAGTTACTTTCGGAAATTGTACTTTTGAAAACATTACCCAACATTTTACTGACTTTTCCAGTGCACAGAGGTGAAAGCAGAATGATGTGCCCTGGTTCAACAGTCAGGAGAGGATCAGCTATTGGTAGCTAATTAGCTACTGGTCAGCTGTTTTCAGGCACTGCAGGCAATCCATTCATCCCTTCTCTAATCAGTTCTCTGGCCAAAGCTCCTTATCTGTTTGGTTGCCATTCAGCTGTTTTTGCAGCATGCAATGGCTGCAGTTCCAAGCCTGGCTCTGACTGCAGCAGGTGAGCCTTTTTCCAGAGAGAGGGAGCTGCGCTGGGAACCCTCTGGAACAAAGCAGCCATCCCACTGGGATCCTCAGGAACAAGGCAGCCAGCCTCCTCAGAGCAGCCCCACATCACTTTAAGTGACTGAATGCTCCCTGTGGCTCTCTCCTCTGGGTGTCCGTGGGAGTGGGAGGTTTCACACGCTGTCCCCACCTCTCAGCAAAATCTCTCCACTCCTGGCAGATGAAAATCTGGCATTAGATACTTGTGCCTTTGTCACTGTAGGACTACAACAATGTGGTATGCCTGGCCACAAAACCTTCAGCTGCTTGGAAACACCAAGTACTGCACCTCCTTAGCAACGCAAGCTCTCTCAGGCATCTCACACCTGTTCTCCATGCTCTACACTGTAACCTTCCCATACAATTTCAAATCAGCTTCACGGTCTTGTCCTTATCTTCAAAGCACTTGATGTCCTGGACCCTAAAAAGCCATCTAAATCTCCAGGACGAGGCCCATGGTCAGCTACACACTTTTGGCACAGTGGAGCTCTCAACAATAATGGTAAAGCTTATCTGTGCAGGTGACAGAAATTTCTCAGGGTATAGTCCAAGACTCTGGAATAAACTCCCCCAGGAAGTAATGACTCTCATAACCTCATCACTTCCAACGTCCACGTGCAAGGCACATTACTTTGATTTTACCTTCTCTAACACAAAGGCGTAGTGACGGGGTATTTAATAAATATGCATGTTTCTCCTTCTGGGGGAGAAGAAAAAACAACATGGACTGCTTAATGCACTGCTGGAAAGAGCCAAGCTATTACAGTGATGATTGCAGTGTAAAAACTTATACCAATTGGCAGGGCTCGCCAAGCGGTGGCAGGCTCTGCTCACCAGCTGTGCAGAGGCGCACGCTGTGCATGCGCAGACCATGCTGTGCGGCCACACCGGGCTAAAATCTACTCGCCAATTGGAATAGACCTGCTGACTATCTGCTAAGATCACATGGGTGCAAACCCCAAGGAAATAGATAAAGAGTGATGGACAGAGAGGATGCTATAAAATGTGAGTTATTTTGGGGAAATCAAATGAAGGACAATTTAAACCTTGATCTATTGGTTGGGAAATTATCTCCCAAAGGGACTGCTAGAAGTTCCTGAAGAAAGCAGAGTGCTGGACATCACACTGCAAAGGAAGGGATGGGCTTGAAGATTTTATTCCATTGCAGGTGTTCTCTTTCTGCCACTTAAGTCAATGAGACAATTAATGAGGTAGCTGTAGAACAACTGAGTCTTTCCTGGCCATAGATGGTGCAAGAGATCCCTGTCAATCTTACTTTCTAATAGTCTCAAAGAGAAATGGAGATGATGGAGGGTTTATTTGTCTCTGAGTGGGAGTACAAAACAGGAAGGGTTTGAACAGGAGTCTTTCCTCTGGGGCTTTTTCTCCTAGCCATTTGCCTTGTTTACTGCACTGGGAAACAGCCCATACCTCTCTGCATTCAGTATCAAGAAGTTGTGCTAATAAGTATTATACAAAAATCAATGTATCCTCACAACACCCCTATGAGGTAGGTATTATGAGCCCCTTATTATAAATAGTGGGACCAGAAAAGTTTTGTGATGTGCCCAAGGCCATCCAGCTGAGCAGTGGCAGTGCTGAGATCCACATTCAGAAGCTCCTTGATACCAGCATCATGGTCAAATCGCTGGTTTGCTTCCATGGCAGTGGCTTGCTACATGGCTATTCTTACATTCTACACAAAGAGTCATGTGATGGGTTTAGTGCACAGTCATCAAAGAGCAGAGCTTTCTCTGAACCAGGAAGCAAGGTCCTTTGTTTCTCCTGGGGGCAGTACATCATTGGCAGCTGGAAACCTCTGACAGGAAGAGTAGACCCCTCCAGTTTCTTCACCCTGGAATGTTGGGAACTTAAGGCATAGCACAATGGGAATTGGTGTGACGATCAAATGTGACAGAGATACTCCCTACAGGCAATAAATACAAAGTATCTGGTAGCAAAGCAACCCTCTTCCAGTCCTGTACCTCTTCTGACCCTTTACAGAACCCATTAGCCTGGATAAACCAGCAAACGCATCACATATCATTTATCGGATCAATCTATATTTCCATGTCCACAGGTCTGATCTCTCCGGTTTTGTGTTCTTTTACCCAGAGTTCCCTGTCTTTGGCAGGTTCCACTTTCTGAAGTAACTGATCCACGGGCTCTATTGTCTAAAAAGAACAGAATGAGAAGCAAATTGTCAAAAGAATATATCAGAATACAGAGCAAGTCCTGCTGCAAGAGCTCCATGCAACTGGCTCAGCTTGCCACTATCACAGGAGAACATTCTCCTCTCAATTAGTTGGATCCATAAATGGAAGGTCCAAGAAAACACAGGCTTTGCAATAGGACTTTGACCATTAGTGAAGCAAGTCCAGCATATACTGCTGAGCACATCCAATTCCTGGTGCCACAGGAGGTGGCAAACCAACCCCTAATAATGCACTGGGCCAACTGTCAGGAACCAGGGCCTGGGGGGGTGGGGAGGAAGGGGAATGTCTAGGAATGCTGGCCCCAGGGAAGGGACGGACCAGGAATGCTTGGCCTAGGCAGGAGGTGGAGGAAAACATAGGAATACTCCTAGGATGGGGATGGCAGAGGACCCAAAGAACCCAAGAATGATTGGCCTGAGGTGATGCACGGGGTGATGCAATTCTCTTCCTGGGGCCCAAAGGCTTTGATTTCTCTTCATGTGACTGGCGTCTTGTCTGCTCCTTCTAGGCTTAGAGTGCCAAGGTGCTGGCCCAAGTGTGCAGTGGTAAGGAGAGGTAACAGAGGCCTGAGGTCTGATCTGGTCCATAGAGGCCCTTCCCCCCAGCCTTTGAAGGTCATTCATTCTTTGGCCCCAGGTGTATTTGGCATCTGTTCAGTGGAAAACTGTGAAAGGCAGGGTGTTCAGAGCAGCCCAGGCAGGTGCTCCGGCCAGCTCAACCAGGAAGCCTCTGTAGTGTCCCAGAGCCAACCCAGGCAGCAGGCAAGCACAGATCTCCAGAGGCGCCAATAGGGACTGTTTATTGCCTGGGGTAAGGGAAACCAAGGCAGGGCTCACCGACGACATCAGGCCTAAGTGCGGCAGGGAACACCTGGATAACTTGCACTATATATGGCTATGAGCAGTGCTTTTTTTGCAAGAAAAAAGGTGCTGGTTCTCCAAGGGAAAGTTGTTGAGGGGAAAAAAAAGCAGCACTGGGGACCGAAATGTGGTTGCAGCCCCTTTACTACCCACATATCCTGAGAGAGCTTCCGTCGGGAGCCCCCAAGCCACCTCAGGAAAATAAATGCCAATAGGTGCCGGTATGCCCGAGGGGAATGCCATTCATTTACGGTGTGCTGGGAAAATAGGGGTGTGCCGTCACAAAAAAAGCACTGTCTATGAGTATATGATTTATGTAATGTGACTATATATCCACAATATATCACAATCCACTGAATACCCCACACATCAGAATACATGCCACATACGCAAGTACTTGAAAAGGTGCCAGTTTTACAAGATTTTATATTTTCACTTTGAACTAACAGTTGCTGTGATTACCATTTGTCTCGCAACAATGAAGGATGGTGTAGAGCAGCGTGTACTGCTTGCAGAGTGAGAAGTGTTCAGGTACGAGAGGTGTAAAGTAGAGCCAGGGGCTGGTTTGCCTTATGCCCTCCTATCAAGCCTTTTTCTGCCACCCCCCATACCACATGGCTGCCATGATGAACTATTTGAGTTGACATGCCCCTTCTGACCAGCCCCTCTGCTCTTCCATATGCCCTATCCCCAGGCTCCGGATGTCTCTGGAGATGCATGGTAGGTGCAGACTCCCAAACTGGCACCACCTAGATCTCAGTCTCCATTAGACAGTGGAATTTAGCACCCTACATACAAGACCAGGCTGGAGCTCAGTAGAACCTCCCTCTGGCTCTTGGACCAAAGGGAGGCAAAGGCAGAGAAGACTTACGCTTTGGTTGAACATGTCTGTCTCGTGCCGCAGCTGTGTGTACTGGCAAAGGTGCTGCCGAATCATTTCCACTCGCTCCACCTCCAGCCTCTCCAACTCCTGTGAGAAAAACAGGCCCATATTTTGATCAGTGGCTGAGCCCAGATTGCTGCATGCATGCCAAAATTAGGTTTTGCTAATGGTGAAAGGTACACATCACTGGAGACAGCTGGGCTCAGTGCTCAGTAAGTGCAGGAGCAGGAGGACTGGCCCGTGGCCAGTGCAGCTGGTGATGGAACCAGCAAGGAGCCAGTGCAGCAGGAAAGAAGGCTTGTGCAAGTTCCTTGATGAGATGGGGAAAGACAGGAACTGCAGGGCCTGTGGAAAGCTGCTGCTCTTGAGTGCAAGGGCAGGACAGGAACAAGGAGGCCCTGTTTCCAGGCTGTAGCCTGGCTCACTGTGCTAGTGAGCTCCTGAAATTACTTTGGCAGCACTGCTCTGGAGGCTGGGCAACATGAGCTATGCTCAGAGGTCATTCCCCAAGGGAATGTCTGTGTGTTCACCAGCAGCTTCTTGTCACTAAGTTAGCCGGGAAGTGTGGACATGATCAAGGTTTTAGTTGATACGGACTGACCCCTTTTTAAAAAATGTTCTGCCCTGAGGGTCAGTGCAACCGACTCTTGGATTCTGATGATGTAGCCAAACCTCCCTACCTGCTTTTTGCTGCTGTTGGGAGAGTCTGGCCAGTAAGAGCTGTCAGGCCTTAGACCAAGATAAAAGCATCCTTAGCAGCACTATCATACACTTGCCTGATTGGTTGGCTGACTCCCCAATTCTGTTCTGTGGGGAAGAAAACTATCGCCTACAATGACAGGCAGCTGAGCAAACTCCTGCTTTCCACAATGAGAAACCCTGTTTGCCTTCTCCAGGGAATTTCCAATGGCCCCTTACTGAGACACACAGAGAAATGCAGTTTGGGGAAAGGCAAGCACATGCATTAACGCTGACAAGTTTCTGTTAAAGACCTTTCCAGAGAAGGAACATCCAATGCCATCCAAAACTCCCAGATGAGCAGGAGATATATCATCCTGCACTCTGTATGAGTGGGGGGAGGTGAAAATGGGATATGACCTTTGGCAGAAATTTGGGATGAAGGCTCAGGAAAACTGTCCTTATGGAAAGTGGGGAAAGGAGGATCCACAGTCATGGTCCCCAGCTCACCCAACGTTCTTGCAGAAATAACAGCTTCAGGAAGGTAAATTTCATGGACTGAGGGACAGAGAACACAAAGTAAACATCTTGAGGGGTAATTCGATCAACTTTCAGAGAATGAGGTTAAAGACCCATTGGGAAATGATAGGTTGAACAGTTTGAACCAGCTGCTAGCTGCAGAATAGCATTGTTAATAGGAAGAGCAACCCTGGTTGGTACCAAGGCATAAAGGATGTCAAAAAGTTGATGTTGTCCATCCTGTTCTTCCTCCAGGGTCTTCAGCCACACTGCATAGGTGGTGTTGGAACTGAAAAAATTTGTATGGAGGTGAGGAAGGAGCCAAGGAGACAGCTGCATCTGCGGAAGAGGATGGGAAATGCTCTTATTCTAGCAGTATCATTAAAGGCAGATCAACCAGCTCATCTTCCAGAACGGATTCTGTATATCTATTGGAAGATGTCTGAAGCCGTGAATCCTCCCTTGGCTGAATGGAAAAGTGCATATTCAGGCCAGGACTCCCAGAACAGCCAACCGAGTGGATCCAAAAAATGTGGTTGAGTGCTCCACGTGGATCTTTTTTAGGGAAAAGGAGACTTTTGCCATGAAGTTGGGAGTCCCTTGGAGTAGTCACAGCAGTGGTAGGGGATGGGGAGCCTCTGTTCTACATCCAAATTCTCTGGTTAGATCCTGGAGCATGGTTCGAATGGTGGTATTGTCACAACCAGTGGAACCATACAAATCTGTACTTGAGTGTGCAGGAGCACAACTCAATTGGTGGAAGTCCATGGTCAAGGCTGGATCTCCTTAGGTGCCAATGGTAGAGTCAGAGGAGATGACCTCACTTCTCACAGAGCAAAAAGTTCATGAGGCCCAGGCACCATTTCCAATCTCCCCAGCTTTAGTGGCACATGCTCCATAACTGGAACCAGAGCCAGAATGGAAAGTTGCTTTGGAACTGCCAGTTGCCTTGATTTGCGGGGTGCCAACTTCGAAGGCTTGTGTGGCTCAACGGTTTGTACCACAGTATCTGCCAAACTGTGAAACTTTTTATCATGTTTGAGTGACTTGCAATGAGCCATTTCTCCATGGCTGGCACTCATGGGAATCACTTGTCTTGGGCCTGGAGGAAGACTTACTGCCAGGATCTGACTGAGGCCTCATGGAGAGGGGAGCAGAGCTCTCTTGGGCAAAGCTTGGAAAGGAGAAGTAGACACTGTACCCGAATGAAACGTAGGCTTCTCCCAAGCAGTAGAGACTGTTGGCTCTTATTGCGGATCAAGTACAAACGCACTGATTTTGAACCCCAGCATCTTCAGAATAATTCAGCACTCAGGTGTGGGTGTTAGGTGGAGAGAGAGGGTACTAGTGAAAAAATGGATCCCCAAAGTCTCTTAATTCCCCAAATGAACACTAAGGGTATGTCTAGACTGCATCCCTATGTCGGCAAAGGGCTGCAAATTAGGCTGATCAACATTGCAAATGAGAGAGGGGTTTAAATATCCCATGCTTAATTTGCATAAAAATGGCCACCAAGTTTTGCCGACTCAGCACTTTGTCGGCAAAAAGTGGCAGTCTAGAGGCGGATCTGTCGAGAAAGAAAGCCTTTTCCAACAGATCCTGTAAACCTCCTTGCAGGAGGAAAAGTGCTAAGTTGGCAAAATATGGTGGCCATTTTTATGCAAATTAGGCACGGGATATTTAAATCCCTGCCTCATTTGCAATGTTGACCTGCCTAATCTACATCCCTCTGCTGACAGAGGGATGCAGTCTAGACATACCCTAAGAGCACTAAATTTACAAGCAAAGATAAAAACTATGCATAATTCTCAAACTTTTTTAAAAAATGTGCCGGAGGGAGATAAGGGGACACTAGCAGCTCCAACTGTGAGTGGTGAGAAGGAACTGAGAGCATGGTCAGTCCCACCTACCCTTTAGCACATCAGACACCCATAAGGCTGAGCAGGGGTGCATGTATGGAGCAATGGACACTACTACTTTCAAATTCTTTGGCTCTGGATACATGGTGCATGTGTAAACCTGCAGTGGAATACAATAGGGACCAAACAATGTAGCAATAATGTATACTTTAGTTAGTATTGGTTATAAGACTAAGTATGAGGTATAATTTCATGTATAATGACTTGTTATAAGTTCTGTAGCTTCTATTTCACTCTGTCTCTCTCATGATTAAGTTGTGTCTTCTAGTAACTACAGATCTTGTCTGAAACACTATACAATTGTTTGGTGTGAGTGGAGGGTGTGTGTGAGTGAAAACCATAACAGATATCCAGGTGATCAAGAAGTGGAAACTTTGAAGATAACGAGGAAACATGTATTGTGTCTTGAGGCTGAATTGAATTAGCAGCACTGACGAACCCTGGAGACAGGAAGAGACCCCCAAGAGTGAGAGACAACTATGAGAATCCTGACTATCACCATCAAAGGATAACTCTGGAAAACAGATTCACACCTGCTATGGGCAGATGACTACAGCATGACACTGCAACCCTGGAAACTTTCCCTTGCAACAAGCCCTGTTGCCAGCTTTGTCCACGTATTTACTCTGGTGACACCATCACTGGACCTAACCATGTCAGTTATACGATCAAGGACACATATTCCTGTTCATCCAGAAATATAATTTATGCCATCATGTGCCAACAGTGTCCTTCTGTTATGTATATTGGACACTCTTCTCAGACACTTCACCAAAGACTTAATGCCCACAAATCAGACATCTTCACAAGGAAAAACCAGTTGGTTTTCATTCCTGGACATAGTCTTCATAACCTTACTATATACATCTTATTTCAAAGAGACTTTAACACCAGACTACAGAGGGAAACTTTAGAACTTTCATTCATGCTTAAATTTGACACTTTACAAAAGGGCCTTAACAAAGATGCTAATTACCTTACCCATTACAAAGATAGCTTCCCCACTTATCACCCCTGATTAGCCATTCATTGACTCATAAATAGCTATTCCCTCCCTTCCTCTCCCTATCTTCTCTACTAAATCCGATTTGTCAGTTTAATAATGTGTTCACTTTTTTCATTGAATTCCTTTGGTATATCCTCTTTCAGAATATGATCTGAGGAAGTGGGTCTGGTCCACGAAAGCTCATCACCTATTAAATCATCTTATAAGTCTTTAAAGTGCTACACAGTTTTTCCTTTTGTTAATACAAAAACCAAAACTCAAATGGAAACTTACATGTATAAGAAGGGATGCTCCTGCCATGGGACTCTGGGTTCAGTCCTGCAAACCAAGCCTCGGAGGAATCTCAGAGGAACCCCAACACCTCACTCAGTCAGCCTTGCCTGGCCAGTGAAACTGATTTAGTCACCATGGACTGGTAACTATGCACCATCTGCAGGACACGTGTACGTGTACGTGTCTTCATAAAGCATATGCTAACTGCTTCTCTACTGTATTCTCAATAAACACAATGCATTGCCTTCTCCCCTGAAAAAGATCCCATGTGCTTCTTATAAGCATAACATAATTCTTCGTGAGAAGAATCACATGGCTGATTTGCTTTGTAATTAAGGACACCTCTATGCTGAAGCTGAAGGTATACTTTACAGCTTTGACGGAAATACCCACGCTGGCTTTGATTGAGCTAGTGCACTATAAAGAACAGTGTAGCTGCAGTGACACAGGCAGAAGGACCAGCTACCTACTGCCTTATTCCCTAAGCCACTCCAGAACCCATCCCACCTCCCTATCTTCAGGGCGTCCCTTATCCTGCTTTCCTAATGTGGGAGCCAGCTTCACCCCTGGGGCAGCTGGTGTTGGCTGGCTGCCTGGCCACTATCTTGGTGGGCGGAGTGGGGGCCAGGAGGATTCAAGTCCACCACCCTGTGTTCCAGATACTGATACTGTATCCCCTAGGCCACTCCAGAACCCACCCCACCTATCTACCTTCAGCCGGTCCCTTAGCCTGCTTTCCATATGCAGGAGCCAGCTCCACGATGGAGTGAGCAGGATAAGGCCTCGGAGAAGAGGTGAAGTAGGGGCAGGGCTTCAGAGAAGGAGGAGAAGAAAGCTGGGCAAGGGTATTTGGGTTTGAGGTAGATCTTACATTGCACTTAAACTGAAAGAGTGATATTATGGTTCAAAAGATTGACGACCATTGTCTTAGGATTTTCACTCACCTACCTTTTTCTCCCCTTCCCTGGGAGTTATTTGGCTTTGAGTGTGGACTGCTGGCTCTGTCACCGGGCACTCAATTCTCCATTACCTAGGCCTTATCTAGAATGGCCTATTCTTTTGTATTTAAAAAAAAACAACTTTTTAATTGCCTGTCAGGAGAACTCCTATTTCCCATTCTTGAAAGGAACCAGCAGCAATCTTTAAAGCCCCTGAGGTACTGCTGTTTGCAGCATGTGAGGTGGACTGGAGAAGAGCTCCAGAGCATACTTATAGGTGCTTCAGAAGGCCTTAAATACATAAATATCAGGACATTTCCCACATGACTAATCCTGGAAGCCCCAAGAGTGAGAGTTCTGTGATATGATGCCTTCAGAGAAGAAGAATTACAAATGATTATCTCATACTATGTATGTGCTGGGGATACCTGTGTGCTAAAATTGTAAAACCAAGAGATAAAAAAATATTGAAATACCTTATTAATGTATAAATGTATTCACATTTTAGCACACAACTTTTTCTGCTCTGTTCTCTTCCTGCTACCCCATTTTTCCAGGGCTATTTCCACCATTTCTAACACCTGAGCGGCTTCAAACTACTGCCCCTTTACTGCAAAGAAAATGTTTTTGTTTTGCTTCCACAAATGATATTACTGGATGGGCAACATAGTGTCTGTTATCTCTTCTGTATTGTGGCTAATAATGGAAGGATAATAGAGGCTATGTCTACACAGTGGAGCTATTTTGGGATACAAATAGCTATTCCACAGCTTAAGAGCAAGCCTGTTATATCGAAATATGATGGAAATATGATTGGAATATCGCTATTCCAATATCCCTGTAAACCGTATTGAAGAGGGATAAGGGATGTTTCGGAATAGCACCTTATTTTGAAATAACATTGACATAAGCTATGCAATTTGTGTAGCAAAATTGTGTAGCTTATTTCAAGGTAAGGGTATTGTGTAGATGTACCCAGAGTGACTTCCATGCTAGATTATCTTGAAGGCCTTCCATTACAAAGCAAAATAGACAAAGTGCAGTATTAGAAACACAATATGCTATATACTGATACATACCAGAGTGGTGGTCACCATTTCTTCAAACCATTTAGACTGGGCTTGATTATAAAGATCTACACAGCGCATCAGGTCATCTCCTGGAAAGATCAAGATAGCAGAAAGTCATCTTTCTAGTCCTTATAACGGAGTAGAGTGGAAAGTGACAGGTTACTTTTCATGTACAGTCATACATTTGAAGGCCATTAGATCATCAAGTTCAACATCCTACAAAGAACAGCTATAATTTCTGGTTGAAATAGAGCACCTCTGTATTAGATTTGTGATATGCAAACAGAAAATAATACCATCATATATTCTATGCTAGAAAAGGGCCAGTTTCACAAGCTGAAAACATGGTTTCGATTAGCAAAACTAACTGGGGGGGAGAGGGTTATTTATACATAAAACTGTGAATGATAATTGGGACTCCTTTAAAAACATTTTACTAGGTGGCCCAAAAGCCATAATTCTGCAGTCAGGAAAGAAGACAACTTCAGTTATAAATACTTCCTGGTCAAGATAAAAAGTGAAAGTAGCACTCTTTAAAAAAAGTTTAAAACACAAACTTATGACAAACTGAAACAAGGGGAATTTGAAAAAAATGAATTCTAGATCTGCCTGACAGCAACTCCATAGTTAAAAGTACATTTGAAAATGGATTGAACATACAATATAATCCCTATTCTGTGCTGAAACTAGATGGCCATGGAATTTTAAAAATCTCAGGAAGGAAAAATTACTTACTGTAACTGTAGTTCTTCAAGACATGATGCAGCCATGTCATGTGTATGCATGCCCAGAGCAACTGAAGCCAGGGAATTTTACCCAGCAATACCCGTTAGGTGCCATTTGCACCTTGTGGCTATAGGCCTTTCTCTGGGTATATGAAGCTGCACTGATACAAACCTTCCCCTCCCATTCCTTCTAAGGCTGTTAGCATATATTCTTTTAAATGATTAACCGATAACCAATACGTTGAGGCTTAAGCCAAATGACTACATACATACACAGGCAGCAAGAGGGGGTGTATTGGGGCAGCAAGGACAGGGGGTAGGCGACAGAAGCCAGTGCCTGGGAAGGTTGTTTTTAAGCCGGCTCCCCATACGTGCTGGTTCCCGCGATGCTGCCCTCCACCCCCGTGCGGCTGCCTCTGATAGAAAGGCAGGGAGGAGCCAGTATATATTGGAAGCTGGCTTTCAAGCCAGCTCCCCGCACGTATTGGCTCCTGCAGAGCCACCTCCCCTCCATCCCGCTGCCTCTGCATCATGGTGAAGCAGGAAGTGGTGCCTCAGATGAAGGTGGCACTGCAGGTACTGAGCATGCTGGTGCCAAAGTGAATGCTGGTACTGGGATGCCCAAGAGCAGCGACATAGAAGGGGATGAAAGCCACCTGGGAAGCATCCACCACCAGGGAAGCACGGTAACGAGATCCCCGCCTTCTCATCAATATGCATGAGCAGTGACACTGAATAAGCAATAACCATCATGAATATTTACATAATGGTTCTACCTTCTGCTGCACACGTCACCATGTGCTGCTGCACACAGCACGCAAGTAGCTGCACATGTTACCACGTGCTGCTGCACACAGCACACTCACCCCCAGACAGTTAGAAGCTGTTTGTTCAGACACCCAATCAGAGGCCCTTGTTTATCCAGACAAGGTCCAATGAGTTTAAAGCTACAGCTCATAAATATTCATGGGGAGAGACTACTTAAGTTCTGGTCAGCATTCCTGTTTGGTTCTCTCTCTGCTTGTTCGCTTCTGCAGCGTTCCACCCTATTCCCTGTTCGTGTTCATTAGGTAGCTAGGTTAGTTAGAGGTTCGTCATCAAGTCTGTCCGTTAGTATAGTGCGTCGGTTCTATGCTCAAGCAGCCGGGGTATTATATCGCAACGGGAGGCGTCGTGTTAGTTTAGGTAGGGATTTTGTGTATCCAGTCTGGGTACAGGAGTAGCTCCTCTATCGCCAGTTCCAGTTGAGGAGCAGAATCCACCTGAAGACAGCGCCAGGCAACTTACCAGCAGTGAATCCTGCGTCCAGGAGCGGAAGGCCCTGGAGGAGGACTTCGCCACCTGCCTGCTTCACACCAGTCCCCAGGGTCTACGAGGGATCGCCTCTCTGTTCCTCGCCAAGGGCTCGGAAGGAGCCTAAGGCTTGAGGTCAAGAGCACTGCAGAGGACATCGCTGCAAGGGATTGCCTCCTAGTCTCTCGCTAGAGGCTTTAATTAGCCAAAGGCTTGAGAGACAGGTGCATCGCCGTCCATCGTCGACGGCTGGAATTGTAATTATTGTCTGTGTCATACCTTGTGTCTGTGGGGTACTTTTCTATCCTCTTATTTCTTCTTGGGTTGGGGACATTAAGGGTACGTCTAGACTACATGCCTCTGTCGCCAGAGGCATGTAGATTAGGCTACCCGACACAGTAAAATGAAGCGGCGATTTAAATAATCGCCGCTTCATTTAAATTTACATGGCTGCCGCGCTGAGCCGACA